CAACAACAACAACAACAACAACAACAACAACAACAACAACAACAATAATGTGAATGCAGTCAATTTACTATCCAATGAGCAGTACTTTATCATGTAAAACTGGCAGCAATAGGTGGATCTTAGAGATTTATAGTACAATATTCTTAGCCATGACTGAGGAAAAGGGAACGATTAAACTGAATGCCAATATTTGTCAAAATGTTCCTTTCATATGTATGACCATACATTATTAGACCATTTCTTTAAAAACTGCAATGCATTATTCAAATAGCATCTTGCGGCTTATATGTGGCTGTGGGCTACACTGGGGCGCTTAAAATGTAGTTCAAATATTACCTGTAGCCTGCTTCTATGTCTAGGAATGTGCCATTCAGATTTTTTGGACTCAAATTTCCACAGCAGTATAGAACCTAATGCTCAGCAGGACTAAACCTCCGAGGAAGCCCTAGGACTTCCTGGTAGCACTGGGGTCAGCTTCCTTTTTTAATGGAAATCTAAGCATTGAGACTTCAAATGTGTTTAGTGAAAACCTCCCTTTTGTTTCCTTTCCCATTGTTTTTTGGAGTATCTTTTTCATTCTCATGCATTTCTGTTCTCTGGCACAAGTCCAAAAATGTCCCAAACAACCTGAAAAATTACCCGCAAGAAGCAGAATCAAAGTAGCACAGAATTGACTTATTCCAAAAGTTGGCAACAACAATCACCATCAAACAAAATACTCCCCTCGAAAACCACCAAAATGCACATCTCTAACAATAAATACACAGAACCAAATAACAATTGTAAAATTTCCTGGGTAATTTGATAGAGAAGAGGTGAAAGAAAGGTTAAACAGAAGAGGAAAATATTTTTTAAAAATAGAAACTTCCATGTCCCTCCTTTTTGGTAACATGAAGGATTTCTATTTAGGAGGCTCTCTTTCGGGAATCAATGAAAGAAAATGGGAACAGAAAAACACATTGCATTCACGAATTCCCCTTTTCATTAAAACATGAATACCCCATCCCTGAATAGCCATTGTTATCTTGCACTAGGATTTAATTGGTACATATCTGGAGTTTAGGGTTTTGTTTTTTTTTAAAGTACATGCTGCCAACCTGACCATTCCTGCTGTGAAGAATTTAATCTTAAAGTCTCCCGCCCTGCTTCTACTCATGCGTGTGTTGCTGCTACTGTCACTGATGGTGTAAGTAGAATGAGACAATATCACTTACCATTAATTCAAAGTGCAGACTGCAAAAAGCCACTGCCTCACAGATACAGTCTCTTTCTCATAATCCAACAATGCACATACTGCAAACAATCCCTGCATCCTTCTTCTTCTGCTGCTGTGCTCACAATCAGATCTTATGCAGATTAGGTACCTTTAAAACTACTACAATACATCTGCCTCTGCCTGAGATCAGGCAGTAAGCCTTGTGATAGATCATCATCTGGCATGCTTTACTCATCAGGTTGGCAAACATCAATTCTGGCAGGTTATAAAGAGATTTACCAGAAGTCTGCTCAAGACTATTCTAGCAAGTTGACAATTGGGAATCTGGAAAACTTTAGCCAAAGCCTCCTTACAAGCACTAAATACAATGACTGTCACCTAATCTATCTGGCTAAATGACATCATTCAGACACCTAGACAAACCAGTCTTCTACACAAAGGGAAGGTTTTTATTTTCTTCAAACAATGAGTAGCATTTTTAAAAAGTGAGAGAGGGAGATAGTGCACTTCAGAAATATGCTGCCCTTTAATATGCTACATGCACATTTTAATACCTGATCTATATAAGGGTGTGGCTACGTTTGCAATTTACCTTGTGGTTTGTATTGGAGTTTGCATGGTTAAAACTGAAGTATTGATGAGTAACTACAAAACATCAAACTAAGCCCAGTGAGGCCCAGTCTTTTTCCATGGGTATTAGTTACTTTTTATTCAGCTAGCAGGAGATGGTTTAGTAAAGGTAAATGTTCCCCTTGACATTTTTAGTCCAGTCGTGTCCGACTCTAGGGGGCGGTGCTCATCCCGTTTTTCAAGTCGTAGAGCCAGCGCTTGTCCGAAGACAGTTTCCATTGTCACGTGGCCAGCGTGACTAGGGAACACCGTTTTCCCTTCCCACCAAGATGGTACCTATTTATCTACTCACATATACATGCTTTCGAACTGCTAGGTTGGCGAGGAGCTGGGACAAAGCAACGGGAACTCACTTCATCGCGTGGATTCGATCTCACGACTGCTGGTCTTCTGACCCTGCAGCACAGGCTTCTGCGGTTTAGCCCACAGCGCCACCACGTCCCTCTAGGAGTTGGTTGATTTTGTACCAATTCAGCTAACACTGCTTTTCTATTTTCTGGTGTATGTGACTGTGTATCTCAAAGCAAAGGGATGCATACTATTGTCACACTGACATCTTCAGTAGGGCACTGTATAGCATTACAGTGGGACAATCCACCTCAAGTGAGTGCCTGTTGTCTCTCTTCTGAACAGTTTTTCTATTTTTTAAAAAAATATGCCTGTCAAGTTTAGTGTTGTGACAGATATGTACTGAACCACTAAGGCTGCCTCACTTGCTCATTGGTTTGCTTTCTTCCCCTCAGAATTCAGTTGGGGGATAAACCACTTCCTTGTCTGTTTGCCCTGATCTTGAAGCCTGGTGAGGTCTCAGAAGAAATTTACAAAACTACTCAGTTTTACCAGAAAGAAAGTATACTAGGATGATAAGCTGTTACATAAATCAATTTTCTGCTATTTCACTTCAGAAAACTGTTTTTAAAAGAACATTGATGTAGTACACTGCAGGAATACATGAATGTTAGACCCCTGGACTATGTGGAAATACAAAAGTTGCTATTGTTATATAGAAAATAGGAATTAATTTTTCTTAACAGCTGACAACAAAAGCAGGTGACCTAAAGGGATGGATAAAGGGACTGAGGAAGAGAATGGGTGGGGAAACAAGGCAGTTAATAGGATAAGACTGTGATAGTTGAAAATTATGCTGATCGCAAAGTGTGGTGTGGACTCTCATACTTCCAAAATTAATCATATCCATCATGTAGATAACTACAGCAAGTTCAGCAGTGGAAAAGTCTCTGACCAGTTAAAGAAAACTGCAACACAGACCATGCAGTATTTTGCGGTGTAATGTGGTGTAGTTGCATCTGAAGGTTGTTTCATATTTTCATTCCATCAGCACTGGACTAATACTGCCGTGATTACAGGCATCCACCTCCCCATCTCCAAGGTTTGCAGCAGTTGCCAATCACAACTCACAGTTTGATGAAAAGCTGTTTTTAGCTTGTCATTAAAATCCATTCACTTTTTTCTCTAATTCTCAGGAAGAATTTGGACAGTCAACAAGCATCCGTCCTAGGTAAACCTCACTGAAAATAATGTGAGCTATGCAGGAGCACAAGTTGGCTCAGATTCCTCACAAACTATATGGCAAAGGCCAAACAGGTTCACTCTGGTGTTGCTTTGAATACTGTACATGACTTACTAATATCTTGGTAAACTGCAGTGGCCTCTTTTGTCAAGAACAATGGTGGTTTCCGTGGTGACATCATTTCAATTTTCATAAATTCTTCACAACATTGTTTCCACTGACCTGAAAGGAAATTGGAAAGTAGTGAGTAGAACTGCATTCCTTGAAAGAACTCTAGAAGTATATGTAGTAAAACAACTACTGACTAGTAACAGACAATTGGTATATAAAAATTGTACAGTATCTGAGCTTTTTACTATTCCTCTAGACCGCTAGCTGACTGACAGCACAAAGCTCAATATAGCTATAATCTCTCCTGCAGCTATTATGTCTAACATCTGCAGTGGCAAAACAAGCTTTGATTTCTCAGATTTCTGATACCAGATTTAGATAATCAATTCTCACAGGATGGCCAAATGGCATGTTTTATTATTTATACCTTAACACTATTATTGCCAGATATTTCAGTCTGACATAAATACTTTCCTTTTAAAGGAATGACTGCAAGGGAAAGGAGAGCAGGAACATTCGGTTAAAAGTAATACAGTGGTGCCTCGCTTAGCGATCACTCCGTTTTATGGTAAAATCGCTTAGCGACGCTGTTTTTGCGATCGCAAAAGCGATCCCTTTGCGACGTTTCCTTTGGGGAAGTTTCGCTTTGTGATGATCGTGGGGAAGCGATCATCGCAAAGCCCCCATTTTCGGCTAGGTGATAGGCGGTTCCAAAATGGCCGCCCGCTGTTTTGCCTCGCTTTAAAGGCACTGAAAATGGTTGCCGCAATGGAGGATTTTTGCATAAGGTTAGTTTTAAGCCCATAGGAACGCATTAAATGCATTTTAATGCGTTTCTATGGGCTTTTAAAAATCGCTTAGCGATGCTATCGCTTAGCAGCGATTTTTGCTGCACAGATTAACATCGCTAAGCGAGGCACCACTGTATCTGCAAGACGAATTTAAAATGATTTTTACACACAGTTCTGAAACAAGGTTCTCATTAGCCAGATTCCCAATATTTTTTTTCTGAGCCTTCAAAATATCAAGGGTATAAACCAGTGAAGAATCAGGCTATGGAAGCCTAAAAATTTCCTGCTTTTCTTCTGCAGAATGCACTGGTTGATGTGGTGAGGAAAAGAAGGACTTTAAAAAAAACTCCCTGCAATTGACAGGATTTTTATGCAATATCAGTTCAAAATGTTCTGGGCTCTCTTTGAACTTACCTAGGTACCCCAGTACAAAAGGAAATGGAGCTACTTACTGAAATCATAGAAGTGCTGCCAGAAAGCTTCCATCCACTTATACAGGTCTTCCCGACTTTCAACTGCAAAAATATGAGTCACAGCCTCACCAGCCTCAGGGTTGATAATAGAAAAATTACTGTTTTTTTTCTGACTATCTTTATCCACAGCACGAATTCTGGTTTCCTAAATGTTATATAAAATATAGAACGAAATCGTAAGTTTGCTTCCCAATGTGCAAACATACACAAAAGTGAATGCTTAATCAAACAGGTAAACAACCAAAAATAGTTATCAATTTAATTATTACTTAGAAAAAGGTTTTTATTTCCAATGTCATTACACATGCCACTCATTCTGCTTTACAAAAATAGAATTGAAGTAAACTACTTTTCTGTTATACTTAAAAAGCGTTTTCTGTTATACTTAAGTGCAGACACAACATAGTTCATGTAAAAGAAAAACATTGTTTGGGTGCCACTAAGCCACACTGGTATTTTAAAGGCTCAGCTTCATAAATGGAGGCATCTTCAATATCCCATAATTAGAATAGTGGCATGAGAGCATTGTCAATTAAAAGTGATAGCTAGCTAGTGCTGAACTGTTTCAGTTACAACTAGAGATGGGGGTACAGTGGTGCCTCGCAAGACGAAATTAATCCGTTCCATGGTTAATGCCATCTTGCAAAAATTTCGTTTTGTGAAGCAAGTTTTCCCACAGGAATGAATTGAAATTTAATGCGTTCCTATAGGGAAAAAGTCAGAAAAACGTCACTTACCTGGTAGTAAGACTGAGTAGCCCAAGCCCCGCGCCTCCTTGGTAGCCCGGGAACAGCCAGACTCTAGTGCCAAACAGCTGACTGTCAGGAAGCAGCAGAGAGGCGGCAGCCATTTTGAGATGCAACCACATGGCTGCTGCCTCTCAAAATGATTGCCCCCTCTCCAAAATGGCTGCCGCCTCTCTGCTGCTTCCTGACAGTCAGCTGTGTGGCAGTAGAGTCTGGCTGTTCCCGGGCTACCAAGGAGGCGCGGGGCTTGGGCTACTCAGTCTTACTACCAGGTAAGTGACGTTTTTCTGACTTGCAACAAAAAACTCACAAGACCCAGTCGTCTTGTGATTTTTCATCCTGCGAGGCGTTCATCTTGCGAGGCACCACTGTATTTGTATACAAATACCTCTCCAGAGGTGCAGATAACAAGGGTCCGGCCGCCTGGGGCCAAACCGACCACCCATGATTCCGGTGCTGTTGCGAGCTCTGCAATGCCTTCCTATCGTTCTGTTGCTCGTGATGGATTAGCCACTTCTGGCAGAAGGTGGGATGATGAGCCTCTCTGCCAGGTTGCAGAGTGGCTAATACATTGCAAGCAATGGAGAGATAGGAAGGCATTTCAGAGTACATAGCAGTGGTGGAATCGTATACGAATATCCCCATCTCTAGTTACAACTCAATTATATTATGACAAACTTTCCAAATAAAGCAATATACTGTGAAAAATAAATGAGTTGGGAAGGGGGAAAGACAAAATAATATGAGATACTGTGAAGTCTGTGGCCAGAGGATACGCAAATGAAGCAGCAAGTAAGCTTTAAAAAAAGAGAAAAGAATACAGGACTTAGAGAAATATATACAGTGATGCCTCGCAAGACAAAATTCATTCATTCAGCGAGTCATGTCGTCTTGCAAAATTTTCATAGCGAGTCACGTCGTCTTGCAAAATTTTCATCTTGCGAAGCGTGGTTTCCCATAGGAATGCATTGAAATTTAATTAATATGTTCCTATGGGTGAAAAAAGTCAGAAACAAAAAAAAGTCAGAATAATGTCACTTACAGTACCAAGTACTGTAGACCGAGCCCCGCTCCTCACGGTGCCTTGATAGCCCCAGAACAGCCAGACTCTGTGTGACCAGAGCGCCGAACAGCTGAGAGGCGGCAGCCATTTTGTGGTCATCTTCGCTCCCCGCCCCCCACCTCTCAGCTGTTCGGCACTGGGTCTCAGGGGCTTCCTGGGGCTTGTCCAGCACGGAAAAAGGCAGGGGGAAAGGGTGGGAAATTCAAAAATGGTGCTCTTCCCCTGCCTTTTTCTGTGCTGGGCAAGCCCCGGGAAGCCTCTGAAAGCAGTGCTTGCCGCAGGGGGCGCCCCCCGTGGCCAGCGCCGCTTTCAGAGGTTCCCCGCCAGTCCTCCCAGCACCATTGGAACAGCTGGACTCTGTGTGGACCAGAGCACCGAAGAGCTGAGTGGCGGCAGCCATTTTGTGATCGTCTCCGCTCCCCGCCTCTGAGCTGTTCGGTGCTGGGTCTCAGACGCTTCTCAGGGCTTGCCCAACATGGAAAAAGGCAGAGGTCCCCCGCCAGTCCTCCGGCTGTTCCGGGGCTACCAAGGCACAGTGAGGAGGGGGGCTCAGTCTACAGTACCTTTGTTCAGACTTTTTTCTGAGTTTTTTTGCCCATAGGAACACATTAATTACATTTCAATGCATTCCTACGGGAAATTGTGCCTCGCAAGACGAAATTTTTTTCCTCTTGCGAGTCACCAAAAACTCGCAAGATGCTTTCATCTTGTGAGTTCTTCATTCTGTGAGGTACCACTGTACAGGCTTTGTAAGGAAAGGTTTTAAGAACTAGAGACAAGGAAAGCACAGTATGCTAAAGCTACAAGCAAAAATGAAAAAAACTGGAGGGGTTTCATCTAGAAAAGGACGCAAGACGAAAATTTTTTCCTCTTGCGAGTCACCAAAAACTCGCAAGATGCTTTCATCTTGTGAGTTCTTCATTCTGTGAGGTACCACTGTACAGGATTTGTAAGGAAAGGTTTTAAGAACTAGAGACAAGGAAAGCACAGTATGCTAAAGCTACAAGCAAAAATGAAAAAAACTGGAGGGGTTTCATCTAGAAAAGGTGCAAAGGAACTTAAATTATTTAAATAGAGAAAATGTTGAATTTAGTAATAAAAAATTCTAAATTACACTTGCAAGCACTATCCAATTGGAAAATAATAAGGAAGGTACAGGGGTAATATAGGAAAAGTAGCAATAACATGAAAGGTAAGCTTGAGGCATTCCAGGTAGTTTTATAAAAATTATACACTAGTACAGGGGTCTCCAAACTTTTCACATGAGGGCTACATAATATATTTTCATTATTTTCAAGGGCTGAAGGAATACGTACACTCCTGCCTTCCCGCACACAAACATGCACGGAGGGGCCAGATAAAAAGGTCGGATGTGGCCTGTACTTTGGAGACCCCTGCACGAGTAGAAACCGTCCATTAAAAAATTACAAAGAGGTTAATTTTATTTTAAAAAACAACAGAAAAGGGTAGATTTAGAATGGAACAACCAATCACTGAATTGGAAATAGAGGGAATTATAAGCAAACTGAAAGTAGGGAAAATAACTGGAACAGATGGATTAGGCCCAGAATATTATAAAATATTTAAAAAGACCCTAATACCAAAATTAAAATATTATATAATAACATTTCAAGAGGAAGAAATCACCCAGTCTTGGAGGGAGTCAAGCACACTACAGTGGGGTCTCGACTTACGAACGGCTCGACATACGAACGTTTCGACTTACGAACAGCTCTCATAGGAATATATGGACTCGACTTACGAACTTAGATTCGAGTTACGAACTCTTTTTTCTCCTTTTTTTTAAAGCTAAGTCATCTTAGGTTAAAAGGAAAAAAGGAAAAAATATCCCCCTCTAGTGGCAGAAGGCGGAAAAGCAGCTTCCCATTAGTTTCTATGGACGAAAAGAACAGATACGGATTAAATGGTTTTCAATGCATTCCTATGGGAAATGCAGATTCGACTTAAGAACTTTTCGACTTGAGAACTGCCTTCCAATATGGATAAAGTTCGTAAGTCGAGACCCCACTGTATTGATATTAAAGTCTGGTGAAAATCCCTTTGATTTGGAAGCATATAGGCAATTCCATTGTTAAATAAAAATGCAAAGATATTGGCAGAGATCCTGGCAAACAAATTAAATGATTTAACTGGAACTTATATTGAGAAAGATCAAAGTGATTTTCTTTTTTGCAACGGAGACAGATGACTGACCTAATGAGAAGAGAACTTAATCTAATACATTTAGAAAAAGGAATAAAAACTAAACCCAGGGTCCTATCTCTAGATATTTTTTAAGCATTTGAGCTATGGAATATGTTAAAGATGGTGATCGAACTGTTAGGGTTTGGCACTCACTTCAAGCATATAATACAACTATATTCACAAAATACAGCTAAAATATGAATGATGGTATATCACAGCTAATACCCTGAGCCCATGGAACAAGATAAGGATGTCCATTATCTCCAGTTTTATTTACATTGATAATTGAAATGCTGGCACAGGTAATTAGAGAGGATAAATAAATAAAGGGAATGGAACACATGGAAAATAATATTAACTTGTTCACAGATGATACGTTATTAATAATTAAGAATCCACTAGAAAATATTGAGAATTTAAAAAGCAGTTTAAAACTGGGAAAATAACAAGATTAAGGTTAACTGGAATAAGTCAGAATGTACAGTATATTATTAAATTATGATCAACAAGAAAAGTTGAGCATGAGAAATAAATTTGAGGGGAAGCTTAGAAGTTCTAGTCAATATTTAGGGACAAGCATAACTTAGGAAATTCAGGATATAATTTAAATGGAACCTGGAGAGGTAGAAGAGCAGTGGATTGTCCACTAAATGGGTGGGGTACAAATTTAAACATACATACATACATACATACATACATACATACATACATACATACATACATACATACATACATACATACATACATACCATATTTTACCATATACAAGATGACACTTTTCCCTAAAATAATCAGAGGAAAAATTGAGGGTCGTCTTATAAACAGAAGGAAGCAGTCGTGCGCGGGCGCTTGGGCGCCTCTTGCTGCAGCCGCTGTCACCCAATTGCCTCTTTCAGAGCTCAGGGCTTGTCCCCTCCGTGACTGAGGCAGCAGCAGCAGCAGGAGGCAGAGACGGAAGCGAAGGAACATTCACACATGCTCTGGCGCCTCTTGATGCCTGCCTCCCCCCCTGGCTGATCACCACCTCCAGCGAGACTGAGAGGTTCAACTCAGTCTCTGCCTCGTCCCCTCCAGAGGCGGAGACAGCAGGAGGCATAGGCAAAGGAGCATTCACATGCGCTCCGGCGCCTC